CGTGTTATGTTCTGTGAAACATTTCCATGCTTCCCCTTAGTTCTTTTGTTTTAATTAATCAATTTATTTTAGAGGTAGAGTTACAGAGAGAGGGAGAGACAGAGAAAAGGTCCTTCCACTGGTTCACTCCCCAAAAGGCTGCAATGGCTGGAGCTGAACCAATCTGAGGCCAGGAGCCAGGAGCCAGGAGCCAGGAGCCAGGAGCCAGGAGCCAGGAGCCAGGAGCCAGGAGCTTCCTCTGGTCTCCCATGTGGATGCAGAGCTGAAACACTTGAGCCATCCTTCACTGCCTTCCCAGGTCATAAGCAGAGAGCTGGATCAGAAGTGGAGTAACTGGGGCTCGAACCGTCGCCCATATGGGATGCTGGCACTGCAAGCGGCAGCCTTTACTTGCTGCACCACAGCGCTGGCCCCATCCTTTAGTTCTTTAGATGTCATTTCCTTTAGCTCTTTAAACTGATCCTAAAGTCCTTGCCTGGCAAGTCCAATGTCTGAACTTCTTTAGGAACAATTTTGTTGATTCCATTTTTCACGTACATGGTATACATTTTCTTATTGCTTTGTGTGTCTCATAGTTTTTTGTTGTTGAAAAACTGTACATTTTGAATATTATTAGTGGCAACCCTGGAAACGAACCTTTGATATTGTTGCTGTTTGTTGTATTTGTTGTTATTTGTTTAGTGGCTTTCCTGACCTTCTTGAAGTCTGTATTCTTTGTCATGTGTGGCCACTGAAGTCTGTTCTAATTAGCTTCGTGGTCAGCTAACAATTAATTAGACATAGATTTAAAACAAAAAAGAAAACAATTGGAATTGTCTTTGCAGAAGGAGTCTGTGTGCTTTTTGGGTGTCTTCAACACTTAGCCAGGAATTTCACAATTCTGCCTTAGTGTTCATTCTGCTTGTGGAGACCTTCAAGGATAACCAGAGGGTACGGCTTGGAGCCCAGGTCTTTAACGGGCATCCTACAGCGGTGGGCATGCATGTGGTCTTTCATTTTCAGGAATATATTGGAGCTTTAAAAACTTTTATTTACTTAAAAACTTATATTTCCTGGTGGCTGGCGCTGTGGCACAGCAGGCAAAGTCACTGCCTGCACTACCGGCGCCCCATATGGGTGCTGGTTCAAGTGCCAGCTGCACCACTTCCAACCCCGCTCTCTGCTAATATGCCTGGGGAAGCAGCAGAAGATGGCCCAAGTCCTGGAGCCCCCGCACCCATGAGGGAGATCCAGAAGAAGCTCCAACTCTTGAATCGGCCCCCCTCTGGCCATTGCAGCCATTTGGGGAGTGAACAAGCAGATGGAAAATTCTCTCTCTCTCTGTTTCTCTGTCTCTGTCTCTGTCTCTCTCTAACTCTGCCTTTCAAATAAATAACAAATAAATCTTTTTTTAAAAAACCAAACTTTTGGAGCCAGTGCTGTGGCAGAATGGGCTAAACTTCCACCTGTAGCGCAAGTATTCCATATGGACGCCGGTTCTAGTCCTGGCTGCTCCTCTTCTGAAGCAGCTCTCTGCTGTGGCCTGGGAAAGCAGTAGAAGATGATCCAAGTCCTTGGGCCCCTGCACCCATGTGGAAGACCGGGAAGAAAAAAGCTCCTGGCTCCTGGCTTCAGATTGGCGCAGCTCCAGCCATTGCGGCCATCTGGGGAGTGAACCAGCGGATGGAAGATCTCTCTCTGCCTCTGCCTCTCTATGTAACTCTACCACTCAAATAAATAAATAAAATCTCAAAAATCCCACAAATTTTTTATTTCCCAAAGCTTCTCACTCCCTGGGCTTTCTTTTCAAGCTTTTGAGTTGGTCTGTTGTTTGCCTGTTACCCACTGCTGCAGGCAGCAGCAACAGAAACACTTGCCTGCAAATGGTTTTGGCAAATACCCTGTGGCAGTGGTTTTGGCACAAGGGAAGGTTAGCCCAGCGGCAAGATAAAAGCAAGCCTTTTGAGCAGAAACCTAGGGAGCCACCACCCAGATCAAGGAAGGACAATTCGTGAATGGCGACCACTCTGCTCCCTCCTGCACTGACACTGAGACTCCGGGTAATGCTTTCACTGTTACTCCTGAGCTGGAATGCTCCTAGAGAGAAATGCCGCCAGTGTTGTTGATCTTACTGCGATTCAGTTGCTTTCTTGAACACATGCTCTTTGGGTTATTGCAAATGGTTAGTTTTCAGAATTCCGAAAAAGCTGTTTCTGACACTTCATTTTTATGGAGTGGTGGGCTTTGGAGATCCTTATTCACCCATTTGCACTGGAGAGTACCCTCCCTCCCTGAAATTTATTTCACAATTCCAGCAGAGCAGCTCCCAGACAGCAGGCTCCAATAATCGGCCCCAGCCCCGCATGTAGTGCAGTAGTGTTGAGTACCGCTGAACTTTGCCTCCCAAAGGAACACTGCTCTAACCCACGCCATCATCTATGAGACTTTCTTGAAAAGATTTCAGCTGCTTTCTGCACAAATCACATTCCCTCTTGTCACATCTCTAGAATGAGAGGATATGGTAGTCCTCTCTCAATTTATTGTCAGGGAAACTGAAGTTCAGAGAGTCCTTTGGATGTGTTTATTTTGAGAGGCAGAGTCACAGACAGGGAGAGGGAGAGACAGAGAGAAAGGTCTTCCATCTGCTGGTTCACTCCCCAAATGGCTGCAACAGTAGGAGCTGGGCTGATCTGAAACCAGGAGCCCAGAGCCTCCTCTGGGTCTCCCACATGGGTGCAGGGGCCCAAACCCTTGGCCATCTTCCCTTCCCTTCCCAGGCCATAAGTAGGGAGCTGGATTGGAAGAGGAGAACCTGGGATACGAACTGGCACCCCTATGAGGTGCTGACACCCCAGGTGGAGGCTTAACCTACTATGCCACAGCGCTGGCCCCTAGAAAGTTTTGCTGACTTGCTTAAGGCTGTACAGGAAAGTGGGGATAGAGGTAAAATCCTCCTGATTTTCTCTGTGGGCTGAAGCTAGGGAAATGTGTGCCGGTGCTGTGTGGCTGGACTAGAATTTCAACCTCTCTGGTAGTTCTCAGTGCTGGCCTCAGTTGATCTCTTCCTATACTGCTCCCTCTCTGCCCCACCCATTCTTGAATGCCATGAAGAAAAGAATGCGTAGAACACTTACAGGCTGCCACCTCCTCTGACTACCAGGGAGAAACCATTGGTTCCAGCAGAGCCCATCCTTTGAGAGTTGTCTGCCGCCTGCATGCTGTGGTCTGTCCCACAGCATCACACATGTTAGAATTAGAGAGGATGGGGCCGGCACCGCGGCTCACTAGGCTAATCCTCCGCCTAGCGGCGCCAGCACACTGGGTTCTAGTCCCGGTCAGGGCGCCGGATTCTGTCCCGGTTGCCCCTCTTCCAGGCCAGCTCTCTGCTGTGGCCAGGGAGTGCAGTGGAGGATGGCCCAGGTGCTTGGGCCCTGCACCCCATGGGAGACCAGGAAAAGCACCTGGCTCCTGGCTCCTGCCATCGGATCAGCGCGGTGCGCCGGCCGCAGCGCGCCGGCCGCGGCGGCCATTGGAGGGTGAACCAACGGCAAAGGAAGACCTTTCTCTCTGTCTCTCTCTCTCACTGTCCACTCTGCCTGTAAAAAAAAAAAAAAAAAAAAAAAAAAAGAATTAGAGAGGATGACTTCTCACTTCACAAATGAGGACACAGATCGGGTCATCTGTCTACACCAGGGTTTCCGTGCCTAGCAAGAGTGTCACATTGATCTCGTGGATTAATTAGGCTGCTGTGCTCCAGGGTCACAGTGTGGATGGTGCCTGCTGGGGTTGGTGACACTCTAGAGATAAATCAGACTAGATTATGGCAACGAATAGATCCCGAAGTACGTTGGCTCAGATGCAAAAGAAGCTCATTACTCTTTTTTTTTTTTTTTTTTTTTTTTTTTTTGACAGGCAGAGTGGACAGTGAGAGAGAGAGACAGAGAGAAAGGTCTTCCTTTTGCCATTGGTTCACCCTCCAATGGCCGCCACGGTCGGTGCACCGCACTGATCCGATGGCAGGAGCCAGGTGCTTCTCCTGGTCTCCCATGGGGTGCAGGGCCCAAGCACCTGGGCCATCCTCCACTGCACTCCTGGGCCATAGCAGAGAGCTAGCCTGGAAGAGGGACAACCGGGACAGAATCCGGTGCCCCGACTGGGACTATAACCCGGTGTGCCGACGCCGCAAGGTGGAGGATTAGCCTAGTGAGCCGCGGCGCCGGCAGAAGCTCATTACTTTTACACTTAATCTAGGGCCGCTGGTCCAAGTAGGGCAGGAGACTTGGTGCTGTGGTTCATATAGCGACTTAGGGGCCCAGGCTAATGGTGGCCCTACCATCTTCACTGTATGAGTTCCAAGGTGACTCTGGTCACTGCCATTCTTGCCCTTGGGAAGGGAGGAAGAGCATGGGGAAGCACCTGTGGGAGATTGTATGGGTCGGGTCTTGAAGTGGCCCTCACCCTGCCCATTCATACTCTTCTGGAGGAGATGTGGTCACAGGGACACACTTAACAGCAAGAGAGGCTGGGAAAGATCAGGTATTTGGACAGTCATACACCAGGCTATGGCTCTGTTACTAATGAACATTGGTAAAATCAATATTTACATCTTCATATCTGGTACTGAGCAGGTAGATATACTCAGGAAACATTTACTGGATGATGGGATAGATGAATAAGTGAATGGATGAATGAATGAAGGAAGGAACAAAGAAATGGGTTGGTTCTCTAGTGGTAACACAGCTTATAAGAGAATTTTTCATTAGTCGTCCCTATTCTGTAGGCAGTGAAAGAGGTTGTAGATCTCACATTTCTGTTTTCACAAAACACCTCCATATGCATGCACAGGAAAATAATCAACTATTCCTCACTATGAGGAACTCCAGTAGACAGAATTCTGGAACTACACTGCACATATTTGGGGTGAGAAAACATTCTTATTCATGTGATTTTAACTTTATAAATGAATTAGCTGTGGTTTTGCTAACAAATTATTTAATTTTTTAACAAACTTTTTTGCTTACAGTTGGTGGTCGCTTTTGTTGTTCTTGTTTTTGTTTTTGCAGAAATGCGGAACATAGGAAAAGGTCCTTGGTGATCACCAAGTCCAAATCCTTACGCGTGTAAATCCAATGTCCTCCAATATCCATTCTCCCCTTTTCCTGCATGAAGAGAATCCCTGGATTTTAGTTGCCCTGCAATAAACCTACCCTGCACAGATCTGTCTGGCAGTGCCGTGTCATCCTGTGGTCACATTCCATCCAAAGAGATGTTGTCTGCTCTAGAATCCCTTTTTAAAATTATCTATTTGAGAAGTCAGGGTGGGGAGAGAGAGTGCCAGCTCGCACCTGCTGGTTCATTCCCCAGATGACCTCGATGAAGTCACAAAGCCATTTGGGTGGCAGGAACACAGTCACAGTCACCACTGCAGCCTCCCAGGGTCTGGATTAGCAGGAAGCTGGAGTCAGGAGCCGGGGCTGGAATGAAGCCCAGGCATTGTGATGTCGATTCCTGGCATCTCACCCTGTGTCTTAACCTGTAGGCCAAATTCTCACCCCTCTAAGAATCTTTCCTAAGAGGTGCTGTGTACCTGGCTTGATCTCTTCAATCCTTCCTCCATCCTGCCGCCATGAGATTGTGATCAGGTATAGTGGAGCTACAAAGTAGGAAGACCTTGACTTTATACCAATGCTATATTGCCTACCCTGACTTTTAAGAGAAAATGATTGACTGATTGATTCGAAAGACATAAAGGCAGACAGAGAAAAGTATCTTCTATCCTCTGGTTCACTCCCCAAATGACTGCACCAGTCACTGCTGGACCAGGCCAAATCCTGAAGCCAGGAACTCCGTATTGCAGTGCTGGCTCAGGCTGCCTGCTAGTGCGTCTGGGAGGCAGCAGACGATGCTCAGTACTGAGTCCCCGCCACCTTCATGGGAGACACAGAGGGAGCTCCTGGCTCCTGGCCTTGGCCTGGCCTCGCCCCGGCTGTTGCAGCATCTGGGGAGAGAAACAGCAGACAGAAGAGCTCTCTCTCCCCACCCCCTCACCTCTGTCTTTCAAATAAATAAACTTAAAAGATAAAATAAAAATGATTTAAAGGTGTGAAAGAAATACTCTTCTCTTTTGCTTAAACCATTTTCATCACTTCCAGGCAGCCCTCGCCCATATTAATATACTGCAAGACAGAAGAAACTGACCCAGAGAAAAGAAGCGACTTTTGGCCTATATTGTAAGAGTAATATCTCCACATATATTCCTCACTATGGAAAAACAGATGAGCAAACAAAACAAAACACACTCCACAAACACCAGAGTAGCAAAACCAGTGGCAAAACCAAAATCCACATGCATAGAAAAGAGAAAGTTGATGGGGCACAGACCCCTTTCTTCTTTTTTTTTTTTTTTTAATTTAAAAAAAAATTTTTTTGACAGGCAGAGTGGACAGTGAGAGAGAGAGACAGAGAGAAAGGTCTTCCTTTTGCCGTTGGTTCACCCTCCAATGGCCACCGCGCTGCGGCTGGCGCACCGCGCTGATCCGAAGGCAGGAGCCAGGTGCTTCCCCTGGTCTCCCATGGGGTGCAGGGCCCAAGCACTTGGGCCATCCTCCACTGCCTTCCCTGGCCACAGCAGAGAGCTGGCCTGGAAGAGGGGCAACCGGGACAGAATCCGGCACCTCGGCCGGGACTAGAACCCGGTGTGCCAGCGCCGCAAGGCAGAGGATTAGCCTATTGAGCCACGGCGCCAGCTGAGACCCCTTTCTTCTAAAGGTCACTGAGCACTGACTAGCTCTTCACATAGAGACCCTCAATCAATCCCACTCCTGGGATATTATTCTGGTCACACAGGTGGCTCCATTGCAGTTGGGTTGGTCATGAAGCTAAGCTCCATCCAAAATGTTGTGTGGCACCTCCAAACCTACCCAACACCCACGCCTCCCATCCCACCTTCCAATCTCCTTACTCAGCAGCTCAATGCAAGGGACTGTAAGGTCCCAGATGAGGAGAGAGCCACCCAGAGAAGGAGCTGGCCCTTGAGTCACCTGTGGGAAACCGCCTGCTCACCAGAAGCACTGTTAGTGTACTGGATGTGAGCAGGAGGTAAGCTCATGTTTCGGAACGTATTTTGTTATAGGAACCCCAATACGGCCTCGTGTCTTGCTCCTCTTTGCCCCAGCTCCTTCTGGGTAGGAAGCTTGCCTCTGCTGAGTAGACTTTGAACCCAAGGCTTTTGTTGGCAAAGCTATGAGATACAGTGGGTTTTGGTCTTTCCTGATCTCCAGCTTGGTCCCTGATCCACCCTAGTTGCCTCTGGGTGTTGTGGGACTACTTGTTTGTGCCTTCCCTGGCTCCTGATTCCTGGTCTCTAGGGACACCTGCCTGCCCCTAGAGGTTGTGTCTGGGCGCCACCATCCGGCACTCTCACCTCCTTCCCCCGTCTCTGAGACCTTCTCTTGCTCTCACTCTGTCCCTAACACTGTTCCCTGTTTCTGCCTCTGAAATATTATGTGCCCTCAGGGTGACTGCTGCCCTACTCCTTTAAAAAATAACAAATGCATGCCACAAGGGAGTCAAAGGCTCCAAATGGACATCAGGGTCTCCAACATCAGGGTCTCGGGCATCAGGGTCTTGTCTTTCAGAGTAAAGCAGGTACTGAGTCCCCCCACCCCACTTTCTCCTGTTAAAAAACCTACAGTCCCTTTAGGTACTGCCCACAAAATTCTTCACTTTCTAAAGGAAGCTCTGGCTCCCGGCTCATTTGCTGAGCTCCTTAATGGACAGGTGTTGCGTCCAATAAGAGAGGAAAAAGCACTTCTGATACTTCTCCAAGCTTGTCCTGTATGAGGTGGCCTCGGCCATTCAGTTACTTTTAAGGCAGATTGTTCTGATTTTGAGGTACATGTAAGTCTCTGTAGCACCACCGAGACCCCCCACAACAACTGCCACTTCCATCCCCAGGGGAGCAGTCTTCACTCCTCGGGCTGGTTGGGTAGCTGCTACTTCCTGAAAACCCAGCAAGTCACTTTCATAGTGGAACGTAGAAGAAGGAGCCTCCGCTGGCTCCTGGGAGCTTGGCAACCACACCTAACAACATCCAGAGTCTGCTTTTCTCCTCTGCCTGCTTACGTCACTGTGGATGGTAAATAGGAAGTTTGTGAAACCATCAGCATTCTGCAAAGTATCACATACATGCTAGGAGCTATCTAAATGTTACTTTGCTTCTATAAACCCCTCCACCACAGCTTCTCTGCTTTTCTAATTTCCTCTGGCTTCCCTCTGTTGCCCCATTAGGTCCAAGGCTCATTCCTTGGAAGGAGAAAGGAAAATGACTCACCCTTGCTGGTTTGCTTTCTTAAGCCTGGCTTCAGCCACTGTCCATTAGCTCACTTCCGTGGGTCGCAGCCTGTCACCTTCTTCATCATCGGTTCAGGTGTCTCAGGGTAACTTTCCAAGGTGTCTGAGGACTTTGATTCAGAGCAATAAGGCAGAGGGCAGAGACCCTACCTTGAAATGGACAGCATCACCTGAGCTTGTGCCGCTCTCTCTGCAGGTAGGGTAGGAGGTGAGGGCTTCCAGTAGGGCCTGGGGGGAGGGGCGTGGCAGGGGGCAGCTCCGTTCTGGTCTTTGGAGAGCAGGGACTGACCGCCTCCTCCCTCCCTGGGGCCCTCGAACTCCAGCGGTAAACCGGCGAGAATGGAACGAAATGACCCAGGGCCTCAAGTCAGCCCCTGGGGGCCTCAGTTTCCTGAGCAGAGAGGCCAGGAGGGGATGGAGAGCTAAGAGGCAGGCGGTGGCAGAGGCAGCAGCGGACCCTGGCCTCCCCAGCGTGCCATCTGTATTCCAGAGTAACCGGCACTGACCGTGGGTCACGTCTACACAGTAGAAGGCAAGTGAAGGAATTCAATAATTATCCGAAATACTGCGGAGAGAACCTCACCGGACGTCAACTCATCAGTGAGGGCCCCGCCTCCAACTCCGGCCACTGGCTCTCACGCTGGCCATGGTAGTCCCCGACCCGCAGGACAGCCACAACCGCCCGCCTTCACCGCCCTTGAACAGCGCGCTTGCGGCCGCCGGCGGCCTGGGAAGCGCAGGCGCTCTACGAGGCTGCAGGAAGCAAGGCCAAGCGCCGGCATTGCCGCCGCAATGGGAAGGACCCCAGCGTTTCCCGAACCTGGCTCCGCAGTTTCGCCCACACAGCGCCTTGGTTCGGATTAGACAGACGACAGATGTGCAGCTACCAGACGCTCGTGAGGGATAGGCACGACCTGTGATCCCAGGGACCGGAAAAGTCACCACGGCGCAGCGTCTCCCCCGCCCCGGGTAACGCTGCCAACGAAGCGCTTTGGAGGGCTTGAGAGCCCCTGGCCTGACGGACAGACACGTGCGCCTTTGGAGGGAGGGAGTAAAGGCCGGCAGCTTCGCAGGGGCCGCTCTGGCCCTGTCCCGAGGGCTGGTCACTCCGCAGGACCTCGGGCGGACCAAGCCGCGGAGGCAGCGCTCCCCTGCCCGGAGCCCCAGGGTCCCAGAGGAGGGCCTGTAGGGCCAGGGTGCCCCAGAGCGCAGAGGTGGAGGCCCCGGAGCTACGATGGCTGTAGAAACGACAAGGTTGCGGATGGCTTTGTGGCCTGCGTGGCTTCGCAAGCTGCGACTCCGAGGCTTCTGTGCAATGCCACGTAGCCCGGCTCCACCGGTGGCGGGAACAGAGCTTCCCCGCCCTCAGGCCAGAGTCTATTTACCCCGAGCGGCGCGCGCCTTTGCCCCCAGAGCGCGGCCCGCCTCGGGGCGGGGGCCGGGTGGCTGCTGCCCGGCGCCGAGCGCGAGCGGAACTTCCCGGCCGGAGTCCTGGGGTCCAGGCGGGGTTTCCCCCTCTTTCTCCGGCCGAGAGCACGCGTGGCGCTAGGCGTACGCTGGGCCTCTGGTGGCTCGAAACTTAGCCCCGGCAGGGTCAACGGTTGTAAGCGTCCTAAAGAAAGCCTCTCTCCACGCCTCTTCCCTGAAGTCGGGCTCGGGTTTGTGAGTCCCTCCAAGAAACAGAACCTCTGGGGCGCCTCTCCGACCTTCTTCTGGACCGTCCACGCCGAAAATCTCTCTCCACTGCGGGGCGGCCCCGAGCAGGCAGGCATCCACCGCCGGATTGAGCAGCGGAAAACTCACTAGAGAGCACCCAGCCCATCTACACCCCGCCACCCAGGACAAACCATTTCGGTACTACTAGCAGCGGCACCGGCGGGACTTGGAGAAAAGACCCCGGGGAGACGGCACTTAGGGCCTTGACCCTGACCCTGGGACGCACGGTCTTTTGGGACCAGGATGAGTTCCATCGCCCGGCGCCCGACCGCGGCCATCTCGAGCCCCTCTTTCCTTCCTAGCTGTCACCGGGTCCGCGGCAGCAGCGGCCCAGAATCGCGGACCACCTGCCGCCAGGGCGGGCGCAGGCGACGCAAGAGGGGAGGCGCGTGCTCCTCCAGCGCAGCTCGCCACGGCGCTCACCGCCGCCCCCCACCCCCAGGCGCGCAGCCCGCACCTTCTGGGGCGCGCGGTTCCCCTACGTCGCCGCACGCCGCTCCCCCCGCGCTCCTTCTCCCACCCTACGTCCTCACGCGCTGGGTCGCGGTCGCCTTCTGCGTCCCCTAGGCAGCTGTGAGAACCCAGAACACTGATGACATAGCGCGGGAGAAAGGAAAAAAAAAAAAAAAAGGAAGGGACCCAATCCTTTCCCAGCCCTTCCGCACCTGTTCCTCGACGCACAACATTCACCCTTCCTTTCGTTGTCCCAGCAGCACCGGAACAGGAGGTGGGCGCCGGTGGGGTCGTGGGAGTTCCGTTCTCTGTCTCTGAATACGAAGTCCACACCCGGCAGGTCCCTGCTTTCCCCAGAAACCGAAATCGTTGTTTCCACCGACGGCTGGGCTGCCCGCTTTTCTCTCCTCAGATGCGTTTAACTTTTCCCTGCTCCCCGGGCGAGCCTGCCACTCTCTGAAGACGCACCCCGGGTGGGGACACGAGTGTCTTCTGTCCTCGAGAGGGCCAAGGTCGCCGGCTGGGGTGGAGGAGACAGGAGCTGACGCTCTGCGGACGCCCTGGGCTTTGATGCCCCCAGCAGGTCTCCTTTCTCGCGTGCAGCCGGCTGCTCCCACGGACTGCTACGTGGGCGTGGGGCCTGGCTGAGGACAAAAGAAGGGCGTCTCGTGACGGACGTGGTCAAAGGAGCAGAAAGGGGGATTCTCAGGGACTGGCGGTGCTTCCTGTCTCTGCGCCGCTTTAAGCCCGGGATCAGAACGCCCGGCTTCCACGGCTGTGCAGGGAGGAGGCCGGGAAGGGATGACAACCACTGGGGTCCCTGCGCGGGGGTCGGCGGCGCCCCAGTGCGCGAAGCAACTCAGTCTGGCCGAGTGTGGAATGGAGGACTGGCTCGCATGGATTTACCCATTGGACAAGTAGCGGCTCAGACTTTTTCAGAACTTCTGTGCAACGCTCCCCACCCCGGAGACATATTTTTGGGGTTCACCTTCTAAGGGAGAACGAAAGAAGGAAGTTGCAAGGCGCGCTGCCAAGGCGGGATACACTCTCCGGAACGAAACCGGGGTGGGACTGGAACCCTGCCCCCTACTGGCGCGCGAGGGCTCCGGGCGCGCTCTAAGAACCCCACCTCAGCAGCACCCGCTGCAGCCTGGGGCGGCAGCCCCCTCTCTTTCTGGGTGCCCAGGCTTTCCCGGCAGGTCAACCGACAGGGACTGCTGCTAGCAGTGGCACCGGTGAGCGGCTGTGGATTTTCGTGCTCCTGGGACCAGAGTGATGTGCGTGCGGACGTGAGTTTGTGTGTGTCTTGCATAGGTTTTCGTGCGGTAGGAGGTCTGAGGGCATGAGTGTGTGTCCGTGTGTGCTTGCTCCTTGTGTTGGTGCGTGCAGGTGTGAGCCTGTTCCCGCCTTTTCCCTAGGTGGCCGCTGTGGGCAGGGGGTGAGAGGTTTGGGTGCCATCCACCTAGCCTGAAACAGAGCAGGCGCTCAACGGAGTCCAGGTTAAATGAGTGTGTTCATGTCCTCGTCAAAGTTGATACAGAGCGTGTTTTTCTCTGTGAAACCTGAAAAATGTGTGGCAGGTATGGGTGATGCGGGAGACAGGAGCTCCTGTGTTCGCCTCCTGCCCAAGGGGGTTCTTGCACCGCTCGCGGGTCGGCACCAAGGCCTGTGGCTCAGGCAGCGTCGCCTCTCCACACTTGAAGGCCGTGGGCGGCTCCACACGCCGCCGCTCAGGCCGGTTCCCTGGGGGGACCCTCCTTGGCCCTTGAGAGCAGAGCGTGCGAGGCCCTGGGAACTGCCAAGCAGTTCCTCCGGGGTGCAGAGGTGGAGGGGCGCCCGGGGCGGGCCTGGCGGAGTGGTCCCGCTCGAAGACCGAGGCGTTAGCGCCCCCCCCCCCCCGCGCGCTCCATCGGAGGTCGCCCAGCTTCCCGCGAAGGTCTCCACCAGGGACGGAATCCCTAGCACTAAGAGGGCCGAGCGAAAAGGTCTGATTCTAACAGAAAGGGAAAGAAAGTCCGCAATGCTCCAGCACGAAGACGGTGGAGCCCAACAAGCTTCCCGTTCCCTGCCGCCTCTCCCGTCTGGGGCCGAGAAGCCCGGCCCGCGGTGTCCCGGTCGCGGAGGAGGGATGCGTTCGGTACCTCCAGCCACCAAGCCCCAGCCCGAAACGGAAAACTCTCAACTCTCTCTCGCGCTTCAGACCTGCCCGGACCGGCTTAGACGCGTTGGTTAAAGAGGGGGCTGGAACCCGGGAGGGGTGGGGGCGCTGCAGGTTAATTTACAGACTCAAAAGCACCTACGGCGGCGCAGGACCCTCCGAGCCCAGGCGCCCTTTCGCTCCAGTTTAGCGCGCGTGAGTCGGCCGGGCCGCCCGAGCTTCCTCTGATGTCGCTCGGGTCCTATCCCTTCATCCTCAATGCAAACCGGCAGAAACCTCGCATCAGGTTTGAGACCTCTGCTCCTCCACCCCAGGCCCCACCCGGGCTGCGCGTCCGAAGCTTGGATCTTAGCGAGTGTCCCCGAGGCTGGTGGGCCCGCCCAGAGGATCGCGGCCCGTTCCAACAAGGAGTCCGCGCCTCAGTCTCGGCATCCCCAAACGCAGGTCCCCGCGCGGGACCCCATAGCATCACATCTCCCACCCCGACCCCAGAGGTGGGCGAGGGCCCCGCGCGTGGGCTTCTGCGGGAAGTTTTTCCGCACGGGCAAAAGGCTTGGGGAGGACGTTTCGGTACACAGTCCATTTACCTTGGGATTCGTCGTGGGTGTAGCGGCCCTGTGTGGAACACAGGCGCGGCTACAGTCGCGGCCCGCGGGCCTCGGGACATATATCCATATATGTATGTATGATTTCTAATTTTATTATAAAATAAAAGCAGAAATATTTCCCGAGGAACATTCACATGAGGGCGTTAACAGGGGGACGGCAAGTCCGCGGCTCGGGAGGCGCGATCTGCTGGGAACTCTGTGGCCACCGTCCCGGGAGACCGGGGAGAGCACAGCGCGCGGGGCCTCGCGGAGGCAGAGGCCGGCGGCCAGGGAGGTCAGGGGCGTCTGCGGCGCCGCCCTTTCTCTTTCGCTTAAGTAAGCAGGAAAAGCTGACACCTGCAGCTCCCACAGACTCCTGGGGCACGCGTGTGGTGGGTGGGGGGAGGCTGGAGACCATCAGCATTCAAAAGCCGGGTCGTCCCTCTTCTGCCTCCCCCTCTGCTGAACGTGGAGGTAGGAGACGGGAGGGAGGGGCAGGGTGGGAAACAGGGTGTAGAGGGGAGAGAGGTGGGAACCAGGGGCCAGAATACGGAGCGCAGGAATGGCGGGAGAAAAGAGCGGAGAGAAACACACGCGCAAGCATACACACGAGGTGGCGAGCCAGACACGCAGGGAAAAAGAGAAAAAAGAAAAAGGAAGGAAAGGAGGAGACAACGGGTGGGAGAGAGAACGGGAGCGGAGTGTCATGGATTCCCTTTCCTGGTTCGAGGCCCATCCCGGGGCCCCAGCCCCGGAAGGATCTCAAAAGCAACCTGTTGAAAACAAATCCCGAACCAAGACCAAAACAGACGGCCTTCTGCTCTTCCCCGGGACCGACGGCTCTGCCCGCTCAATGCGCGGGTCTCGAAGTACCTGGTGGGGCCGCCGGCGCCGGGCGCCCTCTCCGGACGCCGCCGCTCTGGGTCCCCGGCGCCCAGCCCGGAGGGCAACGCGCCGAGGCGAGCGGCGCTCTAGGAGCCCAGGTCCACGAGGTTGGCCGACATGGGGTTGAGAATGGAGTCCTGCAGGCCGTGGTGGTGCTGCAGTGGGTCCGCACCGCCTCCGCCCGGCACGGGCACGGGCACTGCGCTGGGGCCCGGAGGGTGGCCCAGGCTGTGCAGGGACGGCAACCCGGGGGGCGGCGGAGGGCTGAGCAGCAGCGCGGGGCTGGACGACGAGTGGTCCGGCGTCCCCGACGGCGTCTTCTCGTCCTCGGAGCTCCCCAGCACCGACTTGCCGCTGCCGTTCAGCGACGAAGCCAGCGGGTTATGGCTGTTGGAATTGGCGTTTTCGCTGTTCTCCCTGCAAGCGCCGGAGCAAAGCAGCCGGGTCAGCGCGGAAGTCCAGGTCTCGCCGCGCCGCGCCGCCTCACCTGGGGCCAGAGCCCTCCACCCGCCTCGGGAGCCGCGGCCGAGTGCCCTCGAGCGCATGCGGGGCCTGTCATTTCCTCTCCCCCGGCCTCGGGGTCTCCTTCTGCCTCTTCTCTCTGTCTGTCAACACCCCATTTCTCTCCTGTCCCGCTCCTGTAGCCTCTCTCCGCCTCGCAGGCTCTCAATCTCGCATCTTTCCAGCTCACCATTAGTTCCTGCTCCTCCCCATTGCTTTCCAGGGGCAGGCAAACCCGGCTTCCTAGAGTCAGGGGGGTGGCCAGGGAGAAAGAGAAGATGCCTGGATTCTGCTCCTCACACCAGGCTGGCTGGACAGAAGTGGGACCAAGGATGAGGAATCCCAGACCCTGAAGCTGGGCATTTCACCGGTCTTTACCAACCTTCGCTGTTTCCCGCTCTACATGAGCGGAACCCTTGGCCAAGAAGCGACTCTTGGGTTTGAGTCCTTCCCCTCCAAGTCCAAACTGGGCAGGTTGTGTGACAGGGCTCCTCACTGGGCCCAGGAACGGGACTGCCCTTTCTCTAGTGGCCCGGTGGAAACCTCAGCTGGGGTCCCACGCCTGGCAGCTTGGAGAGCAAGTTGGCTGGGAGAAAAGTCCTGGCCTAGACTTTTCCATATAACCAGAAACTCAGGTCCCGAATCTGTAGCTCTCACCTGGGGCCCGGCCTGAGAACCGAATTCTTGAGAGTCTGAACACAAAATGTCAATAGGGGTGGAGGAGGACTCAACCAGGATAACAGAGACAGCACCTGCCCAGATCCCCATGTTTGAATCTCTCCCCCCACCCCAACTCTCAAGGGCTTCTCTTCCTGCTTTTCAGTTAGGGATACTCCCACAGGGCCAGCAGCTGAGACCCCCACTGTCCCGGCTGCTCCAGGTCATGACCTCGGAGAGCAGGGTCTAGCCCCTTCCGGGTTGTTTCCACCAGTCAGCACTCCTACCCCTGACCCCGATCAAACTCTGCACACACCCCACACTACCACCCCAGGTGTCAGGTTTTGCTGTTGACCTCAGGCTGGACGCTGTTCCCACGGTCAGTTCCTGTCTCATCCCCCTCTCTGCTTTGGGACTCCGAGGGGTTACAGAGCAGGTAGTCACCAGGCCTAATAGCCAAAGCTTCGGTTAGGTCAGGAAATCCCGGTTTCCCAGAGGACATACAACTCCCAGCCCTTTTGCGGCTCTCCGCTTACCATAGCCATGCAGAAAGCCACACACCAAGGAGGGGAGGGCCTGGTGGGGAGGGCCTGGTGGGGAGGGCTGGAGCCCAGAGGGGTCAAAGGCCTCGCAGGGATGCTGGGTCCAGCAAAGCAGAAAAGTGAGGTTGTGTTTCTCTCCTCTCCCAGAGCTGACACTTGCTCCAGGAGCCTGTCACCTCTCGATCCTCTCCATGCGGGATAAAGGACAGGCTGGCAACTCCCACGTTCAGACAAGCAAACTTCCTGCACAGGTCCTTCCACATCCGGGCTGTTTCTGGGTAGAACTGCAGTGCTGAGCCCTCACCTCACTTTGGCCTGGAGCTGAGGCTGAGTGGGGGACTGTGTGGGGAAGCAGGGCCAGGCTGAAATCAGCCACCGGCTTCCACTTAGGTGAAAACACGGCCTTCCTCCTTGGGACCCTCAGTCCCTGCCTCCCGTGCCTGCCTGGGGGAGGACTCAGGCCTGCAGTCCTGCTCTAGCGCCCAAGCCCACTGTGTCTCCACTTTTGTGCACAAACGACCACCGAGCTGGTTGACAACTTCCCGCATTGCTGTGCCCGCTTCAGACAAATTCCCGTGCGTCCGGTCTCCGGCCAGACCCGAGCGCTGTCCCAGCCAGGCTAGGCTGCAGCCGGGACTGGAGGCCCAGTGCAGGCCTCTTCTGGGGCTGCGCTGGGCAGTCGCCCTGCCACCCCCTCTTCCTCTCTGGGGCCTGGGGAAGCCGGCGCGAAAGTTCTACTTACTCGTACCTTTCCTTGGCCTCGGCCGCCCGGTCGCGCTGCCGCCGGTTCTTGAACCAGTTGCTGACCTGCGTGGTGGTGAGGCCGGTGGCCTCGGCCAGCTCGCGCTTCTCGCGCGGTGACGGGTAAGGGTTGTGCGCGTACCACTCGCGCAGCACGCTGCGGCTCTTCTCCTTGAAGCAGTAGCTGGTCTCCTCGCCGTCCCAGATGGAGCGCGGCAGCGGGAACTTGCGGCGCACGCGGTATTTGCCCACAGCGCCCAGGGGCCGGCCGCGCAGCTTCTCGGCCTCGATGTAGTGCGCCTTGAGCCACAGCTGCTGCAGCTTGGCGTGGTTGTGCGGCGAGAACTGGTGGCTCTCCAGGATCTTGTAGAGCTCGCGGAAGTTGCCGCGGTGGAAGGCCACCACGGCCTTGGCCTTGAGCACGCTTTCATTCTTGTGGAGGTGCTCGCAGGCGGGCAGCGACCACAGGAAGCGGCCCAGCCGCTCGATGTTGCCGCCCTGCTGCAACACCTCGCACACGCACGCCACTTGCTCCTGCGTGAAGCCGAAGGTGGGCAGCATGGACATGGTGCCGGCTGCGCCCCCGCCCGCCCGCGCGCGCCCTCACCGCGCCGCGCGGTCCTGCATGGGCGCCTCCCCGCCGGGCCGTCAGAGCCGAGAGGCGGGCGGGGCGGGCCCCCCGGCCGGGCGCTGGCTCCCGGCGCGCCCCGAGTCACTGCAGGACGTCCCCGCGCCGGCCGCGGGTCCCACGCAGCTCCGCGCCCCGGCCGCCCGCGCGCCTCTTCTGCGCCCTCGCCCAAGCCCGGGGGCCGCCCGGGGCGCCGCTCCGCATGCTCCGCGCCCGCCCGCCGCTCCCTTGCTCGCCTCTCGCTTGCTCTCCCTCCCGTCTAGCTCGCTCGCAGCTTTTTTAATAATATTATTCTAAGCGGGCATGAGGCGCGGCGGCCCGCGCCCTGATTGGTCCGGTTATCTGACCTGGGGCCTGCCCGCGCCAGACAATAGTCGGAGTCAAATTATTCGCCATGGAGACGCTGTCAGTCACTGGTAACCCGAGCCCCGGCGGGCCGGGCGCCCCCCCCCCCCCCCCCCGCGGCCGCTCCGCTGACAGATCGCCGGGCTCCGCGCAAAGCGGAGGGCGGCCCGAGACAGGAGCCGGAGGCGCTCCGAGGGCCTGGGAGGCGGAGAGGGGCCGGGCGGGGGCTGGCGGCGGCGGTGATTGACGGGGCGGACGCCCAAAGAACAAGGGAGCCTGAGGACACGGGACGGGCGAGGGGGCGTGGGGACGAGCCCGGGAAGAAAAGGGGAGGATCGAGGTGGGGAGGAGAGAGGAGAGGAGGGAAGGCGGAGGACCGTTTAAGGGGGTGTCCGGCTGGAAAGCGAGCGAGAGGGGGTGGAGGGAGCCTCCAGGGGGAAGAAACTTCGGGCCGCTTTGCGCAAGGGGCGGCGCTGCAGCCTCACCCCGGGCCGCGCCAGGTGCCGCAGCTCCCAGCCGGGTCACCACGTCCCTCCCCGGGCCGCGATTCGCCGGCAGATCCGTCCAGGAGCCGGTCAGTGGGATGGGAGAGTCTGGACGCGCTCCGGCCCTCGAGCGAAGATAGCTTTTCTGGCTAACGGCGCCCCCACCCCCATCCTAGCGAGGCCGAACCCGGCGGTCCCCGAGGGAAAGGGGGAGGGAGGAAGCCTGAGAAGTAGGGACGGTTTGGCCTTGGCCGCGGGCGGACGCCTGAGGATCAACTTCTCGGAGGATTCCGCCTCGTCTCCGATTCCTGGCCCGGCCGGCTACCCCGCGGACTGCACCACCCGCCGCGGCGCTCCTGGCCGGACGGGGACTCAGACTTCCCCCACGGGTCCCACGGCCCGAAAAGCGCTCTGCAGTTCCGGGTGGCCTCCGTAGAAGCAGACTCCGGCTGGCCTCGGAGGCGCAGAGCCGGGGAACGGCTCAGGCCTGCCATCCGCCCGCGGGGAGCAGGGAGGCGAGCCTGGTTGTGGCGCTTCCCCGGCAAGCGGTCCGGAGAGGACAGTGGGGAGTCGGGATGCCGGCCCTGTGGGCCTTCCGCTTCAGCTCGACTCCAGACTGCTTCAGCCCGGGGTTTGGGGCGCTGAGCTCTGGAGTGAAGGGCCTAAAATGGGGGGAGGGGGTGTGTTCCTGGTTTTTGCCTTTTTTTTTTTTGGGTCAGGGCTCGTGGGGACCAGGTGGGAGAGCAGGGGGAGGCGGAGAGGGTGCTCTGTTTCTAGGATTTTGAAAGACCTCCTCCGCAGGTCTGTCCTTTCTCCTCCCGGTGGGCTGTCACCTGGGAGCGTCCTTCTCAGTCAGGACTCAAGCTGGCACAGATCTCTGGCCCTGCCTTCAGCCCAAGACTATGAAACCTAAGTAGAGGCCACGTTTCTTCTTCCCACCCCTTAAGCTTTGGAGCGCTGGCATTGGAATCCGGAACTCTGGGTCCAACTTTTGGCTTTGCTTGGCGGTCACCCCCTGCTTCCCAGGTGCACAGCAGCAGGAAGCTGGTCTCAGAAGCAGGGTCCATTATGGAATCCCGGCATCTCAGGCAGCATCTTAACCCTTGTGCCAGTGCCCGTGTCTTGATCAGCAAGCCCTGCAAATGTTTCCGTCTGCTCCAGCATTCTGGAAGTCCTTTTGGGGTGTTGCAAGCATGAGAGAGGGGGAACCCCAGGACTTTCCCTACGACTTTTGCTCTTATAGGTCTACCCCAGTGTGTGGAGGCCACTATCAAAGTAGGTTTCAAGCCAATGCCAGAATGCAGATCCTTGCAGAAATCCAGGGGCTGGTAGGGGCCCTGCTGCATTCAGGCACCTTATCCTGTGTCCTGCCTGATGTCATACAGAGTTTGCCCCAGAGTCTGCTACCAGGACCCATGGAGTGGTCTATCCCAGGCTTCAGTGGGGTTTAGGGCCCACCTTACTGACGTCCAACAAAGGACAACCTTCTCAGACCACTTTTTAGCCACTCGGTAAAAGGATCCAGCTGCTCTGCTGGTCCTATCTTGTGGGGAAGGGTGGCAGCTTCCTGTCTGCAGCACCCATTCTCTCCCATTCTTAGATGAGGCCTGGGTGATCTCTCAGATCCCTGTTGGACTGGGATGGGCTGGGGTTGGTCTAAGAATATGGACCTTGAAAAGCTGGTGATCTTGGCAACCTCAGCCACAGCCATCACCTTGAATGTGCCTCTCCCTGAAATTCCCGTCTGGGTCCTGCCTTCTGGGAAGGCAGATTGTCCCGAGGTTCACACACTGCCGGTCTCTCTCATGCTGCTCTCTGGACAGCTACTCCACCCTGAGCCCACAGTCAACCCTGCCGGCCGACAGAACGGACACCTTGGATGATGGAGTGGGTGCCACAGGAAACAGCGTGATGGCCGGCACAGAAAACCTGTAGTACCATCACCTGCCGGATGGGTGTGACTATCTCACTCCCCCCAGGTTTGTAGGAAACTGGTTCTGGCAGTTCTGGGCCAGAACCTGTGCCAGCAGAAGCAAACCGGATGACTGCCAGAAAGAGGTGAGAAGGTGAGCTAGGCTCTCCCCACATTCTTCAGCCCTTTCCCTACCTGCTCCTCCACCCCCACCCCCAGCCACAAGAGGAACACTGGGGAGGCGTCTGGGTGAGGAGGTGACAGACTCCAGCCTGACCCTAACACAGTCTCAGACCCAGCTCCTGGACCCAGAGGAGTCTATCCCACCCCAGCCCACTCTCAGTCCTCCTTCCTCCCCCAGACCCTCATAAGAGGTGTGCATTTGCAGTCTCATCAAGCACAAACAGAAGCCCGATGGCTAGGGAGGACAGCACTTCTGCAGGCCCAGGGAAATGTGGGCTTCATCGGAATGTCTGCCTCCTTTCACCAAAAGCTGGGGCCAAAGTCCCCTTGGAGGATCCCACTGCAGCAGGGGTGGTCGGGTAGTTGGGTCCCCACGGGCTCACACCAACTGCACACGGAATCCGAGGCCTTGGTGTCTGGAGTTGGGCAGGAAGCTCCCAAGAGGACCCCACCACACACCCACTGCACAGCCCAGAGCTGGTAGGCACTCCCCTCCGGGGTGGGAAAGGGAGGGAAACCACCTCTCCCCCACCCCATCTATTCACCTTCATCCCTGGCTTTGGGTTGGGTCCATTTCCAAAAGGAACCGGGTGATCTAGGGCAAGGAGCTGCTCCCCCGCCATTGCCAAGTTCAGCAAATAAAAAGGCCTTCATCGGAGCAGAGGGAAGAAGTGAAGGAGGCAGGCACTCGGTGCAAAAAACCTGAGGACCAAGAGTCTTTATTGTTTTTAAAAAAATATTTTTCCAGCCTACGAAGGCTGCAGAAGCACCCCCCCCCCCCTTAGCCGACTGTGGCCCTGGCGCCGCGCGCCCCAGGCCGTGCGTGCAGCCCCATATCCCAGGCTCAGAACTCTGGGCGTCCCGGCCGGGGTGGGGCTTTCCGCCCTCCCGAAACCACCAGCGCCAGGGCCTCAGTAGGTTAGGAGCGGGGCCGGACAGGCGGAGCGCGCTCGAGCCGCCGCACGCTCGCTGCGACCCGGCTGTCTGCTTGGGCCGGGGCGGCGCGTTTCGTTGAAAGCGGACCAGCGGCGTCCGGCGGGTTGCGCCCAGGCACCCGGCGCCTCCCCACCTGCCCGTCCGCACCTGCCCGATCTGTAGCGTCCAGGAGTACGCAGCCGGCTATCTGCAGCATCCCGCAGTCCACGGATGGCTGTGCTGTCCACCGTTTGGGGCAGGGCGAAGCGCCGGCCTTCAGCTCACACGAATTCTCCGAAAGGTCTCCGCGCCTCCCGCCCGGGGAAGGCACGCCAGGCGCTGGGCCTCCGGGCCCCGCACTCCTAGGAGGGAGCGAACTTCTGCGTCGCCGGCGCTGCACGTGGCTGGCGTGGTCTCTGGCCCCAAGGGCCGGAGCAAAACGGACCCCTCGACTCTCCAGGCCTTTAGCTTCCGACCCACGCAGCGGCCCAGAGGCCTCTTCGGAGCAAACGGTTTGCAGGCTGCGGACTCACAGGGAGCCTTGTTCCAACGAAAGCAGTAAGCACTGGGGCTCGGCTCTGTGTGGAAGCCCAGCCGGCGGCGCAGCGGCCCGTGTGGCGCCAACACCAGGCGGGATCTGAGGCGGGGCCCCGGGCCCCCGGGTGCTGGCCGCCTTCCCGCGCCGCCCTGCCGGGCTGGCGGATACGCCTCGATCCCAGGGTCCTTGCCTACTGCGCCGCGCTCCCTGTCGGGCCGCTTCGCTTGGGAGTGGCAGGAGCCCGGCAGGCTCGCGGCTGTGGGTCCTAGAAGCCGGAGACGTCGGCGGCGGAGTTATTTTTCTTAAGCCCGTCTGTGCACGCGAGCGCCCCCACGCCGAGAGCCCCAGAGGTCGGACGGCGCTCCGTCGGCTCCCCACCTCCAGCCTAGGGGGCCAGGTGCGCGGGAGGGTCGCGGGTTCCCCGGTGCTCCCCACCTACCACTGGCCGGTCTCTGCGCTAGCAGAGACGTCGTGAGACCTGGGGTGTGTCGGCGAGGAGCGCTGCTGAAGACACCCACACAGCCCAGGGGTTCAACAGGTTGCTAGGCGGGGTCTGATCACACCGTGCACGGGCGGCAAACCTGGGCTCTTCTCCGTGCGTGTTCCCCTGGAGCGTCTGGGCACCCAGGAAATGTTTGCACGCCGAGTGACCAATGGCGTTTGACTGACAGCAACAACTGGGAATGTCCAGGCCAATAGGAGCAAGCTTGTCTGCCTGCTCTTTCCCCCTGCGTTTCTCTCCCAGCCCCTTCTCGCCCTCCTCTTCCGCGTCGGGGCCGTCTCACAAGAGCTGGATGCTGCCACTCAGCTGGTAGTACTGGGTGCTGGAGTCCCCTGGGGCCTCTAAAGCTGCAGCCTGCACCCACCGCTCTTACACTTGCCGGTCTAACAGCTTGTAGCATTACCAGAGTTCCGCGGGTTGCAGGAAAGAAAGTTTTCTGAGTTAGAATTCTAATGTTGCTGGGGCTGCTGTCTTCAGTTGCATTTCCTTAGTTACGCTACAAAAATCCTCTGTAGGCAACGGGTAGATCAGGTTTCCAGTAAGTGACTCTCTCTCTCT